ATTCCTGTCCCTGAGCTGCTGACTTGAAGTAACTGAGCAAGTTAGTTGATAGCACAGTACTAATGTCTGAAAATAAGCTGCTTTAAAGTCACCAAACATAAACTAAATCTGCCATAATGCAGCTACTCACTAGAAACTCATCAGTGAGTAAAACTTTGTTTTACTTTTAATAATATCTCTGTATTTATTACAGATTCAGTCAGTCATACACTTAGTTCTCATCAGTGTTTAAAAGAGGACGTGTTAAAACTCTGTTTAGTCAAAGTTAAACATGAAACATCAAAGTTCATTACAAGTGGCCCTTCAAGGTCCACCATAACACTCATGTGGCCCTCGGTGAAAATGAGTTTGACACCCCTGGTCTAGACACCAACTAACTCTTTATAAAGCCCACAAAGTTTCAAAGGCAGTTTAGAAGAATAGATCTCTTTGTTTCAGGTCAGCTATACGTATACAATTTATTTGAACTTTAAACCTTTTGTCTTGTATGGAGTTACCCAGGATCTTGAATGGGGGTTATCTTTTTGGAAAGGTAGACGTTTGAAGCCAGGGTTATGGGACAGCTTATATCTATTTGGATCCAGGAGCAATGCCCTGGTGTAGGGAACAGGAGCCAAAAGTTTCTACGTTTAAAAAAAACGTGTGTAATTCTGATGTACATGGCCTGCTATAAAGTTATCAATGGACTCTAGTTATGTGTAGTTAAGTATCAAAATGTTAATATGTCAAACACAAGAATCCATCAGACTACATAAAATATTTACTCATTAATACAGTACAACCAAACAGCCACACATTTTTGATACAGCATTATTATTTTTCCTGTCCAAACAGTTTCAAATTGTCACCCTTAAAAGTATTTTACAAATTGCAAAAACTAACAGCAATGTGGCACCTAAGATACATTATTTACAAATATCACAAACATGTAAGCACTGGTGTAACTAAAATCCATTTGGTTTAAGATGTGGTAGCAGCTAAGAGTCATTCTCCAWCACGTACTCCAAGCGCTAACAGATCAGACTTTGTTTTAAATTTTGACATGCAAGTCCTAACTTTTCCATGGAACTCYACTTTAAAAATGGCTGGATTATCCCTTTTTTGAATAGCACCATGAGGTTGAGAACAGCGGRCATCGTATTTTACTTTTAAATGATGAGCTGCATCATCCATGCGTGCGCCACAGCAGCTGCAAATTTTCTCACATGACCATGTTCAAAATAATTTACGATTTACTTGTTRTAGAGGTTAACAGCAGCTCTGCGTTGCTCAAAATCTGAGCGTGACAGACATTCCTGCCAGCAACGGTCCAATGTGATCCCATACAGGATCTGGTTGAATGGYGTTGACTGTCCCTCCAGGTACAGGTTCAGCTGTCGCACCTGCAAGGAAACACGAGACACTAATCAGATGCTCTGCATCCACCAGCTTCTCACAGGTTCAGCCACTCACACACCTCCTCGGCTGAGCAGCCCAGATGATGAGCCACATCAGTGATCCAACTCTCAGCCACCATCATGCCTTGAGGTCCTCCGAAGCCTCTGAAGGCGGTGTTGGACGTCAGGTTTGTGCGACACATGAATCCTCGGCCGCGGATGTTTGGCACCCTGTATGAGTTCTCCATGTGAAACAAAGCCCGTTCCATGATCTAGACAATGATAAGTGCATCATCAGCATAACGTGATTCCATGAAGAAGATCAGAGATTCTTAACTCATGGGCCGGTGGCTTAACAATTGGGCCACAAGTGCCACCTTGAGAGTCTCAAAAGAACAACAGTTTTTAACTTTGGGCCGCAGAGGGCCGCCGGGACCGCATTGATTTTGAATAAAGTGCAATACACTTTTTCACCACTAGTGGCGGTAGTGTGCCACTCAGTTGTTTAACAACTTTTTTAATAAGTAGAAGAAGAACCTTAGAAACCTGCTGAGAATGGAAACTTATTTTAAATAAAAAGTAGAAGCAAAAATGAAGGTAACCCATAAAAAATGCCAAAGTTTGTCACTAATATGAATGAAGTGCAGCTTCTGTTTTTACCATGCAATATTTTAAAAGTTCAAAAAATGACCAAATTGCAGATACAGCCATATTTTAATTTAGCATTTTATCAAATAATTTTTTGTAATTTATTTTTAAGCATTCTGTCAAAAAGCTGCTGTTACTGTTATTGTT